AGAATAGAATAGAATAGAATAGAATAGAATAGAATAGAATAGAATAGAATAGAATAGAATAGAATTCTTTATTGGCCAAGTGTGATTGGACACACAAAGAATTTGTCTTGGTGCAAATGCTCTCAGTGTACATAAAAGAAAAGATACATTTGTCAAGAGTCATCAGGATAAGTCATAAGGATAGTCATAGGGTACAACAAGCAATCAAATCATACTAGGAAACAGTCAATAACAATCATTAGGATACAAGCAACAAGGTAACAATCATACAGTCATAAGGGAGGAGATGGGTGAAAGGAAGGATGGGAGGATTAATAGTAATAGTAATGCAGACTTAGTAAATAGTTGGACAGTGTTGAAGAAATTATTTGTTTAGCAGAGTGATGGTGTTTGAGAAAAAACTGTCCTTGTATCTAATTGTTCTGGTGTGCCGTGCTCTATAGTGTTGTTTTGAAGGTAGGAGTTGAAATAGTTTATGTCCGGGATGTGAGGGGTCTGTAAATATTTTCACAGCCCTCTTTTTGACTTGTGCATTATACAGGTCCTCAATGGAAGGCAGGTTGGTAATAATTGTTTTTTCTGCAGGCAAATTCACTTAATAATTATCTCTCTTAGCAACAGAAATATTGGGCTCAATGATAGTCATAAGTCAAGGACCACCTTTACAAATCAAGCAAAACAGTCTTCACACACACAGAGAGAGAGCAACAATGCAACAACTCCAGGCCTGGAACCCAAGTTGGGTTTTAAGAGCTTTCCAGAACTCTAGAATAGAAGGCAACATCCATATCTGTGAAGGATACTATTCCAGAGGGTGAGGGCTTCAACAGAAAAGGCTTATTTCCTCAATCCCAAAAGTTGACAATGTTTAACAGAAAAGACCTAGAGTGCACCCACTTTGGAACATACCTGATACTCCTTCCTCCTCCGATTGTCCCCAGAACAACAACCCTATGAGGTGAGTTGGGCTGAGAGAATGTGACTGGCCCAAGGTCACGCAACTGGCTTTTCACAGCTAAGGTGGGACTTGAACTTGCGGTCTCCTGCTTTCTAGTCTTGTACCTTAACCACTAGACCAAACTGAAAATGACTGGAGATATCTCTCAGATATTCAGACCCTATGCCATACAGGGCTTCATAGGTAATAATCAACACCTTGAAGTTAAAATTCTTCAAGTTGAATAAGATCTAAGAAGCTCCTCTACTGAACTGTGCATCATAAGTTCCTAAGTTCCATATTTCCATGCCTTTAAATACCATGTTTTCAGTTACCATAAGCGAATTCAATCACCTCTGAGTGTTATTTATTAACAGATGCTAGCTATATGGTTAAATAGGTCTCTCAGGAAGTTACAGTCAGAGTCAGAATAGAGACCTGGAAGGATCTGCTCAAGCAGGACACCCTATACCAGTGATGGCTAACCTTTTCATTGTCGTGTGCCAAAAGTGAGGCCCGCGTGCATACGCAGTGGATCTGTTCTGGGCGACAGCTCGCATGCCGGCAGAAATGGCTCTACGTGCCACTTCTGACACGCGTGCCATAGGTTCGCCATCACGCCCCTATACCATTCCACATGTGGCTGTCCAGTCTTTTCTTTAAAAAAACCTCCAGTGGTGGAATACCCACAACTTCTGAAGGCAAGCTCTTCCACTGGTTAATTATTCTCACTGTTATGAAGTTTCCCCTTAATTCCAGATTGCTTCTCTCCTTGATTAGTTTCCATCCACTATTTCTTGTCTTGCCTTCTGGTGTTTTGGAAAATAAACTGACCCACCCTTCTTTGTGGCAGCCCCTCAAATACTGGAATACTGCTATCATGTCACCCCTAGTCCTTCTTTTCACTAGACTAGCCACACCCAATTCCTGCAACTGTTCTTCATATGTTTTAGTCTCCAGGCCTTTAACCATCTTAGTTGCTCTTCTTTGTGGTTTTTCTGTTCATTCATTACATTCATTGTTTTGATAAGCTGTCTATTTCTGTAATAGTGTAAACTCTCTAGAACTGTTCCGGGTCAAAACTCACCCAATTTTTCAATTTTCCCTCCTTCAGGCTCCCTTCAAGAAGAATCCAAGGTTCAGAGAATTGAAGATATCATCAGAGTCCTTTTCTCTTATCAAACTGGCTGTTACATATTGCAATTCTGTGGTGGTATGAAGAGGTTTATACATCCTTTTTCGATGTTCCCTAGTTTTGTAATCTTGCATGTAGCAATCTTCCTGGGGAAAATATCTGCTGAACTATATACCATGGGGATAGATGAGCCCAGTAAAAATACTTCATCTCACAGAGACACAGACAAAAACACACACAGATATACACATTCTAAATCATCCTTAGAATTTAACCCCTAAACCTTGTATTGTTAGAGCTTGTATCTTTAAGCAAAATGTGTTTAGAATTAACTGCTTTCCTTTGTCAAATAAGATAACAGTCCCACCATCTCTACGAAGGCAGGAAGCCTTAGTAAAGGAGTACAACAAAAATATGAGAAAACCACTTCTTCCTGTGCATGCTGATATTCCTTATCTATCAATTGGCATGCTTAAATCTAGGAAGCCCTCTCTTTCAACAGCTGTCTAACAACTTTGACATCAACACACAATGAAAAGCCAAATAGGCTGCTGAATTCCCAGATACA